AGAACCGTTCAAGAAACTTTTCTTCCAATAAATTCCAATCCGTCATTACTGTTGTAGACTGATCAAGATATCATTCCTTCGCTTTCCCGATCAAATAATGAGGAAATAGCCTCCTAAAGAGTGATTCTTCATCAGTTTCTAGTGCTCCTGTTGCACCCGCATTCTCATAGAATTTGGTAAAATGTTTGAACGGATCCTCATGATCTAACCTCCGTGAAAGGATTTTGATAAATAAGTGCAAGGATTCTCGTTTTCATCTCAGTTTGCCTTCCATTTTGGAGATTGCGGGTAAACTGAGCAATGTGTCTTGGACTATTTGTACATGGAACTGAAGCTAGAGGTGGTGGTGGTGGAGCTGCCGTGATTGGTGAATCAGGTGGAGTGGATGAAGAAGATTCCCCGCGCTCTCGTCTTTCCCTATCTTGTTGTCGTCTCTGCCTTGTTCGACTGTTGAGTCGGCGAGTAGTTCTTTCAATCTCAGGATCGAAAAGAAGGTTTTCATGCCGGACTTGTCCTCGCATAAACAAATTCTGCACACAAGTTAAATAGATCAAAAAGCACAAAGAATTACAGAGATAAGAGATTCACAATACACAAATCTTAAAGTCATTAAACTATTGCAATGCTTGCAATATTCTACTAACGTTTCCCGGCAACGGTGTCAATTTGTTAGAAATATATGTCGGGAGTGTTTTATCGTATCCACAGGGATTGATGAGAATATTTGATGCTTGTCATTCAATGGTTTAGTGATTTAAGTAGGGGGTTTTGAAATTGGTTTCAATTTTGTAACATGAGTTTGTAAGAAATAAAGCAAGGTAAAATTTGGTTTTAGTTTGATGAAAAGCATGTCAAGATTAGGGTTTACTAATCCGTCTTAAACGTATCCAATTAATCGAATATGTGAACTTAGTTTTAATCAATATAATCGCGTATCCTCTCAAAAACGTTCATCTCTAAAGCGATTTCGTGAATGTTATTGTTTCGACCGTTAAATGATCTTTATAAATAACACTCGACACAATAATCATTAAGATCAATACAATGCGAATATCAACTTCCAAATCTATGTCTAGAGTTTGTATAGTTGATAGATGAAGAAATTAGGTCAAAACTTGAAAAGTTCATGTCTAAAGCAATCCAAACCATAGATATAACAAAAGATAGCAAATAACTTAATCTATATTGATCAAAGTCTTGTTCACATACAAAAGATTAAGAAGAATACATAAAATCAGAACTAGATACCTCTAACCTTGACACAAGAGGGGTTTTAGCCATCCACTTTTATGATAGCTTGAGCAACAAGTTTCAGAAGAAGGTTGATCAACATCTGAGTCGAATAACTGATATTGGATGGGAATCCACCTTCTTTTTGTAAAAGATGGCTAAGAGATGATGAAAATGGAGAAACTATGGTTTTTGTGCTGAAAAATACAAAACTATGAAAAGTACAAAAGAAAATATATGATGGCAAAAAGTGGCACCAACTACTTATAGACATGCTGCTGAGCTGTCAACTTCGCAGTGTGAAGATCTTGTTTGCCTAGAAAACAACCAAAAGTGACACTTGAAGTGCCAGTGTACAGTTAAACCGCCCCTGAGATATTTCCAAATATTTTTTGTGCGAGAAATCCTTCGCACTGCGAAGGCTTCGCTACAAACTTTGCACAGCGAACTCTTGTTCAAATACTTACTGCCTTAGGTCAGAGGGTATTCGTTAGGTCTTCGCTTCTTCTTCGCTCCAACGAACCCTTCGCTACCTCCTTCGCACAGCGAATTTAGATGTATTTTCTCTCTGTATGAACAGTGACAGGTTCTCAATGGCCTTCGCTAGCAAGTTCGCTATGCGAACTTAATGATGTTTTTTCTGGGCAACTTCGCTAGGAAGTTCGTTGTGCGAACTTCTTTGATGTTTTGCTGCTGACTTTGTTTCCTTGTCACATGTCTTGTGTCTTACTCTTCTTATTTTGTGCCTAATTCCTGCACAATAGCACACACATCAAAGCAACCAAGACATTTTCACACAATGAAGCATATCATCAAAAACAAGAGTGATTCAATTCAATTCTTCTACAAAAAGAATGAAAGATGTCAACATTTGATAGATCAAATAAGCAAAGTTTGGCATCTAACAGTAACTGCCAAATAACTTTTTGATATGTGTCAGAAACTGTCAGATAACTGTTGGAAATTGCTTGATAATTGTCAAATAACTGTCAAAAACCGTCAGAAACTGTTTGAAACTGTCGGATTCTTGAGGAAGAGCCGACGTTCATTTCATACAAGATGATTGAAGAAGAAGTGTTAGAAGTAGGATTGGTTGTGAGAATTGATGTGATAGAAGCAAGAATGGGAAGATTGGAAGAATCTCTCAAATCCTCTATGACAGAGTTTCGTCAATTGCTGAAAGCGGTGATGGCGAAGCATTTGGGGTATGTTCCCACAAAAAAAAATCAGTTCTGGTTAGGACGTGTTGTCGGTAACAGATGTGTTAAAGAACCATCAGAAAATTGAGTTTCAAACAGAGGTGATACCGGAAAAGGAAAATGCAGAGGAGGAAAAGAAACAAGTCACTAAACCAAACAACACAGGGGAGGAACAAGTTGTGCACAACTTGCTACTTTTGTTGAGTATGTCGTTATCAAATTCCCTCCCAACGATCCTTTATGAATTGAAACTGCAGAACAGTGGTCCATTTATGGTGGATCTTCCTTGGTGTGTGTTACCTCCACTAATCGTCCAAAATTCAGCATTAGAGAAGACTATGAACGATGCACGATGGAAGTTCATATCTACAGATAGAACTAGGCTAAAAGAGGAAGAAAATTGGACATGGTTATGGATTTAGTGGAAGTGCCACAACCTCTGCTGGAGCCGTTGGATCAACCTTTGTCGGAGCTACTGTTATCAGCTTCACCAGTGATGGTTTTATTTGAATCGCGTTCGGGTATATTTATGAGAGACTTAGCAGCGATCCCACCACCACCAGAACCGCCAGACGGCGATTTAAAAGATATGGGCCCTCTACAATCAGCAGCGGCTATCCTCTTTCCGATTAGGAACAAAATTATTTCAACTCGGTCCATTTGATTCAAAGCAAATCAGAACTCATGTAGTGGGTACAAGATAAATCAAGTTTCAGAGGTTTCTTTCAAGCTTCAAGAGATTGTATTGTTTTCAAGCTTCAAGAGTTTGTATTGAAATGGCATTTGCTTATTCTCCTAGTTACTCCCTTTCTGTCTATTGTAACAGTTGTTGTCTTGTTAAAATTGTCATGCACAAGTCTTGGGTAACTTGCAAGCTGCTCATGTCAGGGTTACAAAAGTAGCTAGAGATGATTAAATTTATTCAAACCATTTTTCTTATCCCAACCTTAAGAACAAGGCTATTTTTCTAGCGGTTGGTAGAGATAGGATACTAGTTTTAGGTCTTAGCTCAATAAAAATGCCTAATAGAGAATTGGTTATAACTGCTTATGTCAAAAGGGAGGATGATGCTTATGTCAAAAGGGAGGATGATAGTTATATATAAGGACTTTGATAGTAAGAGGGAATTCATTAAATGTATTTTTGAATAGAAACCTTTTGGTTGGGTAAAATGAGAATATCTCTCCTCCGAGGAGCACTTTGCTCTAGGATTATAAGAATTCATCTTTGTAATAGTATTAATTTAAGTCAATAATACATTTTTCATTTATCTAAATTTTGAGTTTCTATCACCTTCTATCTAGATTGGACCTAGAATGACATTCGAAAATTCCATAGAAAGCAAAGAAAGCAATCATGCAAGGTGAACTTTTCAGGGGTCCCATGCAAGCCCTCATAGAAAGGGAATGGGGTATGTTCCAATGCTTTATGATCCATTAATAAGTTGCGAGCCTCATTTGGAAGGACTTGGACTATTTTTTTAGTTGTAATCTAGTCAGAGAAACAACCATCATTCGTGCAAGATCAGATTGCTCTCAACAGTCAACATCTACATGTAGTTCCTTTTTTACAATAGAGAATGCACTCCTCATTCAAGAGGACGTGGGTGGAGTTATGATGCCTTTTTATCACTCTTGAGATGAATTCCGAGTGTGCTTCAATCTCCAAATGCTTGCTTCACTACAATAGTGAGTCATCCTTGTAAACAGTATCCTAAAAATCTCTACAATTTATGCCTCAACTTTTCTAAGATGAGGTCATAACTGTTGTCCAGTTTCCTGTCAACTCCCTTTCAATCTAGCAAGCAATCTTTTCTTGTGAAAGATAATGCAAAACAGACTGTATCTGAAATTCCTCTAATTCTTGAGTTCAATTATTAGCTATATTTCACAGCTCTTAGCACCAGGACTCAAGGAAAAGTTAAGTACCAAATAACTACATCAAAAAGGCCTAGCCAACCCTTGATTATGATGCATAGACATATATCACAGAAGGCTCTATGGTTCAAATGCATTGACAGATGGATCAACACAACATTCTCAACCTAATTAGCACTTTGTTGTTTACCCAACCCTCAATCTAGTATTTCCTTCATAAGGATGCATATTGAAATTTCCTAATGTGAACCAGGATACTCCAAACTTCTCATAAAAGCCTCGGCTTAAGTGTCCAGATACTTTCTCTCAACATCAAGATCATGTGTAATGATTGAAGAACGGAACTAAGTATTGACAATGCTAGTATGGGCAATCACCCTATATCAGTATCCAATTAATGACTTGAGAGTCTAGAGGAATTTTCATATAAAACTTTATTTCATTAAAAAATGAGGCATTCATCCATAGTTCATACAAGAGTATTTCTAAACATAAACAAGTTTGCAATAACATACAGTTTAATCTAGGACACCAATTTGAGAGCCTAAATTGAAATATTATGACAAGTTTGGTAGAGCTAAGGAATGATGCATATTATGTAACATACACGATATTGCACATATGTATACAATAGAATAAGTTCCAGCCCACCTTCATCACCATAAAGAAAATTTAGAATAAGTTTCAATGGAGATCAGTCCACAAGCACATTACATGGAAGTCTCTCGATCCTCCTTTGCTTTTTATCAGGTTCAGGGGACTGCAAAGGAAAAAAATAAGATTAGATGTTGAATTTCCGCATTCAAAATAAAATCAGATTAGTCCAAGACTGTAACTACACATAGCATTTGAAAAAAAAAACTACCCTAGAAAAATCTTTTTTTTTTCTTCTGTTGGGGGCTTGAAAAAAAGGCAGTTTACACAGTAAAAGCACAATTGTTTGATACCATTGATGCACAAACTTACTTTAGGCCTAATTTAGAGATAGCTTCCTAGTAAATAAAATATATTTTTAAACATTCACATCCTAAACACAGTTTTTAAAACATGCATGATGTTATTTCTTTTTGCTTCACCTCTCCAGTGAGTAAATAAGGAACCCGGACCCTTTTGGAGCCATCAGGTAGACGTTTAGAAGGCGAATGGTTATCTACAGCGGGAAAAGCATTGTGGACCTGTAAATAAATCGTGAAGTAAATTTTAAATAAGAACCAGGAAAGTTTGGAATAAAAATCAAACAAGCTAGATCATAAATAATAAGCTAACTAGTTCAAGGGACCTTGTTCTTCATAACCAAAATCATTCTATGAATCTCACATCTCAAAGAGAACATTTATTTATTATGGAACACAATATCAGAAGAACTGCTTTGTTACCTGACTTTGAATTGCTCCAACTAACATATCCTGACAACCTGATGCATGAACATTTTCTAAAGTGGGGCACTGAAGCAACAGCCTCTCTGAACCAATTAGTATAATGAAAATAGTCAATCACTGTTTTAAAGAAAATCCTGATAAGCTGCAACAAATTCTTTGATAGTTACTAAACAGGGGGGACATGAAAGGACAAACCAGAAATCAGATTTCTACAAGAATTCAAATTCAGATCGATGAGCTCTGGGCAGTTTAAGTATAGAGCCTGCATATAATTTGAAAAGAATAAATATTAAAAGGCCAAGGAAGAATATGCAATAAATGGTTTCAATCCAATGAAAATGGAAACTCACATCCAAGCCAGTGCAACCCCACAAACTGAGTTTCTTTAAACGGCTATGTTTGATGATTAGCTTTTGGTTTATATGTTGTAGATTTGTGGTGGATGTTTTCTGTGATTCGCAGTCATTTCCATCAGCAGTTGGATCTGGGAAATTAGGATCACATATGGTCATGCCACAGTCCATAAGTTCAAGAAGAGGTAATTGAGCTGTAGCAAATTGAATGCCACCTGGAACATGTGACAGCAAATCAGGTACAGAGATAAGCAAATGTACAAGTCTTGTGTGAAAATAAGAATGTAACAGACGATTACTTGAGGTCACATTAGGGCAAAGAGCAAGGAGAAGTCTTTTAAGTGTTTCAGGGAATACATTACAAATCATTCCAATGCCGCTGTCACTTATGCCAGATCTGTTATGACAGCATCCCATCAAACATAATTTTTTAAACAAAGACAAGGAAATTAAAAATTGAAAGAAAAAAAACATTATGCATATTTGAAATATAAATTCTTATTCTGAATCTTCCACGATTATTTATCTAGAGTATTGAGTTCCACCACACTTATTTTTGTCTCCAATGTAAACATTTTTTCAAAACTCCATCAAAAACTTTTAATAGTAAGAATAGATAAGATTCATACCCACTAAGGTCAAGCAATTCTAGATTTGGGTAGCTTGAGGCAATTGCAGCAACAGATGCATCAGTTAATTCAGATCCAAGAACAAGAGAAAGCATACGGAGCCCCCTGATTAATTGTATATTCAAACAGAATTTCATTAAGTTCATTAATCAAGTAGATGGTATTAGCAGTAACTGGTTATTCAAAAGCAGAAGAAAACACAATTAGAAAAAAAGTTGTCACTGTTATGCAATGTGGATCTCTATGATATATGATTGGGATTTTGGATATTCATACTAAATTTGGGAATAAAATCAAGTTTTGATCAATGCCTAATTATCATTTGTGTGTATACATGTTGAGCATTGTTGCTACAATAATTGGTTTAATACTATTTCACTTCCACCATATTTGGCATGCGGTATAAAATTCGACATGGTCCTAAATTAGATCTTTTTATAATGATTGGTTCAAACACAAGATAGTGTGAATTCATACAAAAATAGAGTTCAAACCATTATAAATTCATATAAACCGAAAGTTAAGAAGATCAAAGATTGCAAACTTTTAATACAGATGGAATAACATATAAACAGAGAACAAATTGCCAAAGAAAAGCAAAAACCTCAATTGAGCAGCTGTAAGAGCAAGCACAGCAGCATGAGAAAGCCGCATTGAAGCTATGTGTATGTTTTGTAATTTCAAGCAGCTTCTTCCGAATCCTTCAATCATAGCTATGAGATCAGTGCTATCATTTTCTTGGCAAGAAAATTCCAATGAAATCTCTCTCAACTGGGGACAGTTAAATATCTACATTATAAAAGTATTGGTTAGCAACTAGGATTCCCTCTAAATACAACCTTGGGGTATAATCAATGTCAATATTAATCACGTAACTTTAAAAAACAACAAAGAAAAGTAACAATCACCATCTTAGATAGAGAGTGCAGATCTGATAGCCAAAGCGTAGACAAACTAGATGAACAAATGACAGAACCCCCTAGATTAGAACAACCTTCCATCTTGAGGCATTTGAGGTTTCTTTTGTCCGCAACAAATCGGCCCAATTCATCCCTGCATTTTCGTAGTTGAACAACAGATAAAGCTAACCAGTGCAAAGCATCATTATATGGTTTGGCTTGCATATATGCTAATAATGTAAGCTTTAACTACACATGATGGCTCAAGCAACTAAGCATCTATAGTGATGGTATTGTAAGAGACTAAACAGAAGCAACTAAGCACCTATCAAAGGACAAAACAAAAGTTACACCTCTGATATTAAGGCAGAGCTACAATCCATAACATGGCAATAAGCAATCAAGATTTCATCCATTTACAATGTGGGTTAGGGAACATTAACTAAGCAATAAAAATAACAATACTAAACACATCCTGACATTCACATTATATAGAATTATATCAAAACTGAAAAATTCAATGCAAGCCAGCAGTAATACCCATTGATCCGATTGGTTGCAGTGTCAAATATCGAGATCTCCATAGACTCCAAATTAGGGCATGAAAATGCAATGCAAGCCAGCATTGTAGAATCAAAATCACTGCAACATCAAACAAGTCAGATTCATAGGATAAACAATGCAATGCAAATCTTTCAATGGAGATAACATAAGAAAAACACGGCTGGTTATAATTCAGCAGGGGCATAACAATATCATTTTCAAGATCCAATTTTTTTCATCAATTAACCCTAACCTAAATTTTTAACATCCATCCTTTGATGAAACATCAAAACGATTATTTAGTAAATTGAGATTCAGATTGAAGCTATTGATCCCTTCTTCACCGATCTTCACAAATCCACACCTATATTGTAATTTACGCATGCATTATTTCATTTTACGATATTTAACCATTAATTTCCAATAACATAATTCAATTATTATTAATTTATTGATTAATCTTATTCTTAACGCGGATCTGAAAGATTTCAACGAACAACACAAATCCTCACACACCTTTCCATCCTAAGAGAAAGCCTAACGATCCCAGGACATTTCTGTAGCATCGACGCTACAAATCCAACGTGAACTTTCGCCGGAACCCTAAGCTTCAACTCCTCAGTCGCTCTCCACAGTTTCCTCGCCGTCTCTCTCCATCCCTTACACACCTTTGCCGCAGATAACAATCCCGCCGGCGGCAACCTCCTTAACACATCCCACCTTATACTCGTCGGCAACCCGGACGAGTCAAAATCCACATCCAGATCCAGATCGGATTCCAGATCCGGCTCTACAAACGAATCCGCATCCGCCCTATCGTCCAACCGCAAAAGATCGAGTCCGCTGGCTCGATCCTCAAGACCGTCAAACGAAAGAGCACGACGAAGGTTCGAAGTCGGCTGACGGAAGGCCGATACAGCCGACGAAGGTACAGAAACGACAGATAAAGACGAATCGGCAGGCGTGGTGGTGGCGGATATAGGGGTTTTGATATTACAGTTATGTCCCTTTTTGGGAAGACCACAACGGCCACAGTTATAACTACCACGTTTCTTTGCTCGTTTGATATCAGAGCTATCGGCGGAATCGCCGCCGCGAGAAGATTGTGACGCGGCGGCGATGCTTGAATGTTGCATGATAGGGTCGGAGAAGAAATGATAGTGCAGTTTTCACTAATAAAAGTATATAAGAACCAGCGCGGGAGTCTTCGCGCGCTTTTGTTATTGTTTTTAACGCTTTTTTTAATTTTAAGCTTTAAAATTTTTTTAAATTATGAAATATGAATTCTCTGTTTTGTTTTTATAGACAGAATACACGTGATTGATGCCGCGGGAGTTTTTCTGATTTAGAAGAAAATATTTTTTTATTATTATTCTTTTTATGTTATCACAATTAATATTTTTTATTTGTAACGGTAATAATCACAACTAATATTTTTTGACAATTTTTTATGACCGAATGTGATTTGAATGGTTGGTTTTTTATGATTTTGGATATTAGTTATTTTCTGTGGGTCTCTTAGAAAACTCCAAAAATCACCTCCTTTGTGTACTTAAAAGTTCCATTTATTAAAACAAAGTTTCATATATTTCTTTCAAAAATGTATTAAAATATAAATAAAAAATTAATGTTTATATTTTTTTTGGTAACATTAATGTTTTATATTAGTTTTAAGTGCCTCTTCCTTAATTAATTTTGAATTCAAAAAGAAGACTTCATAAAATTTAACTATTAATCATTTTATCAAACTATATTTAAAATATTTCAACAAATACTGCAATGTAGTAACTAATTATATGAATGTATAAAAAAAAAGATTTTTATATTATTAATAAATGTTTTTTTTAAATAAATGTTTTTTTTTTAATTTTAGAGAATCATCTTTAAAATGATTAATTATTTAGTCAATATCATATTTTTCTATATGATAATTGTTTAATTGTGAGTTGTATTTTTAAGTGACATGTTTTTTTAATAGGGTAAGGAACAAATAACTGAAAACTAAACATAAAAATTCAATAACTAAAAATTTTCGACTAACACTCTATTCGTATTTGCTTAAGAAATAAAAAGAAATTCATTAGATGAAATGTTTTCACACAAAGAACCGACATATTAATTTAACACATGAAATATTATCAAAATTATTAAAATATTTAATAATATACATATTTTACATATATTTTTCTTAAGTACAATTCTAAAGAAAATAAAAATAAAAAAATGCTAACAAATGAACAACTAAGATAAATGTATAACTAAATTAAAAAAATGTGATGATTGAAGTTTAATTCTCATGAAAAACATATTTGTAACGAATCATTTTTTCTTTTATGTAAACAATAAAAATAGTGTAAATATAAAATCCCATGTCGAATTGCATCAGAATAAAAGTGGGGAGTATGCATATAAATAAATGTATAATGTGTTAATTATAGGTGGCATTTAAGGTGGAAAAGGAAAACAACTTTCCCACCATATAGCAGTTTGATTTTCCCACCTATCTATTTTCTAACTTGTTAGATTTTTTAATTTTTCAATTAAAAATTAATCAGAAATTAATATATTAATATTTTATCTCTCACTTTCTCTCTCTCTCCTGTGTTGTTTTTCATCTTCATCAATTATTGTTCTTTATCTTCATTATTCTTCATCTTCATCAATATTTTCTTTTTAAAAAAATTAATTTAAAAAACTACAACAACAAATCGGAGCTTTGAAGAAGCTCCAATGGCATAAAACATAGTTCTGTATTCTGCACAATAGTGGCGGATGTCACCACCATAACGATCTTACTGTCACCGCTTTAGAAAAGCTGACAACCGTCAACCAGATGATGGGACGCTCTTCATGGTCTCCATAGCCAACGTCTCTAACGGTCGTTGACTGGATGACGAGTGCATGAGGGTGGGGATGACAGACACGTTATGACGACCGTCATGACGGGTTGGTTGATCGTCATGACTTGGGTTGACCAGTTTTGAGTCGCTAACTCGATTTTTTAAGTTGTTTCCTATTCCAGCGACTATCGGTTGCTCTTTTGTTGTGTTTGATGAATTGGTGAATAAAATGGATATGCTTTATGAGTTGTGTGAATATTTTGTGAATGAATAAGCATGTGTTGTTAAATGTTTGTATGATTATGCATTAGTGAGTCGTAATTATAAAGCACAATTACATGTGTTGAGATGGTGGCCTCATTTGGAGAGTATGTGGTTCGAAGGGGAGTCGTTGAATGTTTATCACACTAGTGTGTTTTTGCATTGTCATGTGTCGTGGTGTATGAACTTCGATCCAGTGTTGTGTCGTTGATTCAGAATGGGGGATCAACGACGGTCTTTGCTCCAGAAAGGGGGATTAGTGACGAGTCTAGATTCATAAGGGGGATTAGTGGCATGTATGATTTAGAATGGGGGCATTGGTGAGTGGACTGAATCAGTAACATGCCTCTGATGTCCAAATTGGTACCACATGCATATAAAATCGAGGAATTAATGCATTGCATACATACCTACTTTGTGATTGTGTTATTATTATTGTTGTATGAATGGTATTCATGAATTGGTGATTGTGTGATTCTGTTTGGGTGGGATAGGAGTAAATTGATTTTTGTGATTAATTCATATATTGATGATTGTTATGTATGATGCTACCCTTGTTATCGTTTATACTGTTAACATAGTTCGAGCGTGTTTTCACCCTTGTTTGCTTTGTTGTGGTAATTTGTACTCTATTGGAGTACAAATAATCAGGTAGAGGAATAATTATTTTTGAGCTGGAAGATGGTGTTGAGGCCTCTTCATTTATTTACTATTTTTTAGTTATTTAGTTTTCATTGAGATATGATATGTAATAGCAGGACGGGTTGCTTTGTTACATGATGTGTTTATCGAGATGTTGAATTATTTTATTGAGGGTATCGGGTTTAAGGTGTTACATAGTTGGTATTAGAGCCTAGTAGGTCCATTCAGCCTGGGTTGTGACTAATTGATACCCTTATACGCGACATGTGTGTGAGCACTATTAAAGCTTTGCAGTTATTTGCTCTACTGATTGCAATTAGTTGACTTGTTTGAGTTGGTTGGGCATAGAGAAATGGATGGCAGAAACGATCGTGCAATTGCTTATGCTTTAGAAGCAATGTCTAATGTGATAGTGCAAGCGAATGAAGCTTTGCAGGTGAATCAGAATCAGAGTGTTAGTGTTGATAGATCCCATGGGTTGTGAAATTTTCAGAGGAACAATCTGCCTACCTTTAAGGGGAGATGTAATACTGAGGGTGCTCTGAGTTAGCTGCAAGAGATCGAGAAAATCTTTCGAGTTATGGGTTGCACTGATGAGTAGAAAATGTTGTTTTTGATGCATATGTTGTCTGAGGAAGCTGAGTATTCGTAGGATAACACCCGTTAGAGGTTGGAGACGGCAAGTATTGAGATCGCTTGGGAGAACTTCAAGAAAGAGTTTATGGAGAAGTATTTTTCATAGAAGTATTTTCCGGTTGATTTTTGTAATAAGAAAGATATTGAGTTCCTTAAGTTAAAGCATCGAAATATGATTGTTGTGAATTATGCAGCTAAGTTAGAAGAGTTTACGAGATTTTGTTGGCATTATAATGGTGTGGAAGTTGAAGGGTTAGGTCCTGAAACCAAGCAGCTCATTGGTTATCAAGAGATTAGTCGATTCTCAATGTTGGTGAATAAGTGAAAAATCTACGATGACAATAGTTGGGCCAAATTTGTTCACTACAAGAGTGTTAGTTAAAATAAAAATGGGAATCACTATCGTGATAAACCGTACGTCAGAAACCAAGAAAGGTGTCAGCTATTGTGCAACTCATGGTAGAGTGTTTGCTCTGAGTGGTGTGTGTCGCTACTGCGAAAGTTAAGGTCGGCAATGACAGAAGAGTCGCCACCGTGCGTTATTTATCCCAAGAGAGGGAAAGGAAACGCTCAGAGAAAACCTAACGAGAAGAGGGATAAGATCGGTCATCGCAACCAAATATTGGGTTCGGGAGTCGGTTACGCAAGGGGAAGGTGTTAGCACCCCTCACGTTCGTCGTACTCGACGGGATCCACGCTTGTTGTTTATCTAAAAGGGTGATTGAAACTATCTAACTACAGGCTTGAGGACAAAAGAAAAAGAAGTGACTCGGCAAAGCAACGACGCTTTGTGCCTACGTATCTCATCTGAAATGAGAAGTCAGAGTCAACGTAGTTCGGCTAACTACGGTGAAAAGGGGGAAGGTTGCTCGCCAAGACATCGCGTCTTGTGCCTATGTGCTTTCATCTGGTATGAAAGATCAGAGCAAACATAGTTTGGGTTAAAAGGGAACACAGGTTTGTTCAACTTGTTTTACCCGAGTAGGGTTAACAATCAGTTCTAGTAGTTTGGTGTATGCAGCTCGACCATTGGAGACTTAGGCGTTACCATTTGCGATAGAACCAAGATTTAACAAAACTCTCCTTATGAAAATGGTTTTCCAAGATTAAAGGCCCCAAAGGGAAAAAAGAAGTTTGAATGATTTATTTTTGTGTTTTTTAGAGAAGAAGTGTTTTTGGATGGTTTGCAATTCATATCGCACTAGAGACTATGACTTAGGAGTGAATGCGTCGCATATCACCCAAAGGGTGCTGTTGCACCCTAATTTTTGACCTTAAGATCCCACCTCCTTGTGTATTTTCTTGCATATCATCTAAGTCAAGCATCCGTGCATAAACTAACTATTTTGTCTAGTTTGTTCATTCTGCAGGTATGTTGAAGAAAGTTTGAAAGTCACGAGGAATCCTATGTGTATGTCCTTTAAGTTACCATGAATTCATGTGGATATAAAAGAAGAATGCACTCTCATTCCCATGGTCCTATAGTTAGAGCAAGGCCAAATTATTCATTAGGGATTTCTTTCTATTCAGTATGGTCAAAGCTTGTGACAAGCCGCATCACAAAAAACTTATCCTTATTGCCATAAGATTCGTCAAGATTGGGATCGTATCGAGTAAAAGGCGTCTATTGTATGAAAATGCACATTATGAGAAAATGAGGGATCGAGGGAGTCAAGAATGCTTGAATGTCATTTAAGCATCTCTTTCCCTAGATTTTGGTTCATTCAAGTACCAATTTAGTTGGAATCAAGATGACA